CCCCAAAACCCCAAAACCCCAAAACCCCAAAACCCCTTTTTATTTCTAAAAGCTGATTCTGAAATTTATATTAATTTTATAAAATAAAATTAAAACTACGAGCACTATGGACGTTAAAAAGTTGCTAGATAATCCGAAAATTACCTTTGTGTTGGGAAAGGACTCTGAGTTTAGAGCTCAGATCTGTGAGAAGCTGGTCGAAGAGCATAAATATACCCTCATCTGCTCAGAGAAATTACAGCAAATTGAAATGCTGAAATCAAAGAAGAAGATTACTGATGGAACTCTTGAGATAAATGCACTTATTGCGAACCCTTCTAAGAATTATCTCATGAACGGATTCCCATCTGCTGCTGATCAGGCTATTAATTTTGAGCAGCAAGTGTGTGAATGCCAAACTGTTCTATACTTCCAAGACAAAAGTGATGGAGAGGAAGAAAAAGTTGACCCCTCTACTGCAGCAATTCAGGAAGTCATCGAGAAATACCAACTATTTGGAAAAGTCAGAACTATTGATTCCAGCCAAGATTTTGATAAAGTTTATAAAGAAGCACAAAGAGCTCTTTTTCCAGAAGTGTTCTTTCTTATTGGCCAAAAAGCAGCTGGGAAAACAACCGTTGGATCTTCATTAGCTGACAGAACAAATATGGTCCTTGTTCAGTTCGATGAATTTATTGATAAGCATAACCTTCATGATGCTGATGATGAGACTGTTACTTTAGCTTTGATAGGCACTCTAAAGAACGAGGTGTCTCCAAGAGTATTGATTGAGAATTTCCCACAAAATCTTATTCAAGCTAAATGCTTCATTAAGAATTGTACTGAGCCCTCAAAAGTCTTTTATTCGAAGTGAAGTAAAGATACTTGACAAGAAAGAATGATAACTCTTGGAAAGGATCATAGTGATTACGTTTCATCAGCTCTTTTATCAAAGAAGATCAAGCAGTTCCATGATCAGGCTTCTTCTCTGATTCCATATCTTCAGGAGACAACTGAATTCCATGAAATCAATTGTGACCAAGAGCTTCAATTTGTACATCAGCAGGTTAGAGACATTGTTGAGCCAACTGTGATTCATATCAGAGCTGGATCAAACAACGATCTGAAGAAAGAAATGATCAATGAGCTTGTTGAAAAGCATGGGTTCATAAATCTCGAAGTTAGCAGCCTGATTAGACTTGAAACAGAGAGAAGAACCCCAGTTGGAGAGGAGTTTCTACAAATAGTCCAACATGGAAAGATTATCCCAGCAGAAATGATTGTCAGAATGCTTAGAAAGATCATTTATAGCGGCCAAAACCAAAATAAGTTCATCTTGAATGGATTCCCAGATGTGATTGAGCAGGTTGTTGAATTTGAAACAAACTGTTCTAGAATCAGTGCTGTCTTCCTCACAAATGAAGCAGGCAACAATGTAGTCGAGATTAAAAATAACAACCTGACTTTGTTCAACATTGATGCCTTATTCCAGAAGGAATTTAGGTTAAAAACCACAGATTCATGGGACTTTGGGCGGTTCAATGAAATGCTTGGCTCAAAAACTGACTACATAATTGTTACAGGAACTTGGTGCTCTGGTAAAACAACAGTATGAAAGTTCCTCGAGTCTAACTACGGATACACTATTGTTGATCAGGCAGCAGCAAAAGAAAGAGTCATGAAGAATCATGAAAATGATGACGAACCTCCAGAGAGACCACCACCAAATGAAGTTGTTGAAGAATTGAAAGCAACTGTTGACCAATTAAAACAGAATAAGGCTAAAATTGTCTTCGATACATTCCCAGGGGCTCAACCAGAAGATTTTGATGCCATTCTCGATCACCTTGGAACTCCAGATTATATCATGAATATCGATGCTGATCTTGAAGAAAGGAAAAAAAGATACATGGCTAAAACTGAAACTGAAGAATGGGGAGAAGGACAAGATGAGGAAGTCTCTAAGCTTGAGGACAACACCGAAGCATTAGTTGAACATGTTAAAGCTAAATATGAAGGGGTTTCAGAAGACAGATTCAGAATTCTTCAATTCCATGTGTCTGCAGACAACATGCAAAGTCAGATAAATGATGAGATGTCTCCAAAAGTCATCTTGGTCCATCATGATAAGAGGCTGTCTTCTGATACAACATGCGCTAACTTAGCTATTAAGTACAACCTGATTTACATCAGTGTTTACCAGTTAATCAAAAAGCATATTGAAGAAAAGACTGAATTTGGATTGCAGCTCTTGGCTACAAAGAAGCCGAGAGATATCAAGATAAACTCACAGACAAGGGATGAGTTTGAGGAAGCTACTTATAGTGCTGTTCACTTCGATCAATCTTTAGTTCTGAAATTGGTCAAGCACACTGTCAATTTGACCTTGACGAACCAAAAGTATATCTTATTGGAAGGAATGTGCAACACTAATATCCTTTCTAATGAGGAAGACCTACTTGAACTTACTCCAATGAATGAGCTTCTTGATATTGAAAGAGAAGTTGGAGAAGTTGTTGCAGTCTCAAGCTTGAAATTCACTCAAGAATCCACTGAAGAAGAGGAAGCTGAGTACGAGAACTTCCCTGAACCACCTCCAGTTGAAGAAGTGAAAAAGGAAGGTGAAGGAGAAGGCGATGAGCCTGAACCTGAACCAGAGCAAGATGAAGGTGAAGGAGATAACAAAAAGGAAGATTTCAAGGTAGAAGATTATCAATGGACTATCACTAACAAAAAGCCAAAGAACTTAGTCCAAGTATACCTCCAATTGAAAGGAAAAGATGCAATTCACGAGATCAAAAATGCAGAAGAGTATTCGAGCTCCCAGTATGAATCGATCAGCAAATCATTGGATGAGTTCATCACAAGAGTAGTGGGAGGAGATCTCAAGGGCAAAAATCCTATAATTCAAGTAGTTTTCATGGAATAAATAACCATTCAATTGATTTTGATTAATATGGGGTTTTGGGGTTTTGGGGTTTTGGGGTTTTGGGG